TATATCCAACAAATTCTCCAAAAAAGTAATGATTTGTTATGTTTATTATACTTAATAAACCTAATAAATCATCACTTATTTTGAAGGCTATATAATTATACGATCTAAAAATAAAGAACGAACCAAAACAATATTTAAAATCAAAATTCCCGCCAGCCGCTTCTCGCTGCCCTCCGGACACGGCCGAATACTTCCGAGGTTTCCGTGGTTTTTAGTGTCGTCTAAGTTAGCTTGGGTTGACTGATTTCTGGTTTTATCACATGCGTGTCCGTCTATGGTGGGGAGGCCAGTGTTCTGTAAGCGTTCGTAGAGCACGTTTTGTTTCGTTTTGTTTTGATTCAGATTAAATTATTTAAAACTTTTGGCTGATCTTTTATAGTTTTTGTCTCGATTAGTAAAATTTCTAATTTAATTATTGTGGGGAACACACTAAGGTAGATTTAGCAGTTTTTATTAAGCAACAAGTTGTATTGAGTTTGGTTTTTAAAATTCCGGTAAGTTTTCTTTACTTAGTTAAATTTTTCAATTTTTTTTTAAAATGAATCCTGTTCATGACGTTATTCTCTCAATAATTGAAACGCCTTTTTTTTAAAGAAACAAAATATGCAAAATGCTTTCCAGACAACTTACTTAAGAGTTTATTAAAAAGTTATCCAAATATTTTTGACAAAGATAGGCTAAAAAATGAGCTTTCTGTAAGGGTTGAAAAAAGTTTAGATATGTTGTTTAAAAATTTCAAGACAATTTTTGTGGAAGCATATAAGCTTTTTAATTTAGTTTTAATTATCCCTGCAACAAGTGTATCTGCCGAACGAAACTTTTCATGTCTTAAACGAATTAAAACTACCTTAGGAACACAATGACACAAGAACGGCTTTCAAGCTTAGCAACGATGTCAATAGAACAAGAATTACTTTCAAATCTCAATGCAGACCCACAATTTTACGACCAAATAATAGATAAATTTGCAAACTTAAGATAGACGTATATATAGATTTAATTTACAAAAAGTAGCTATATATTTTTTAATACTTTAGTTTTATTTTTATTTTTTGATTAATTTATTTATTTTTAACTTTTTTAAGAATATATTTTTAAGTTTTAAGATTAAAACTAGTCTTTGATGTGATATTTTGTTTGTTTTGTTTTTTAGAGTTTATTTTTTATTTATAATGGTTTAGTAGGCTATCGGCGCGCCGAAAATATATAGCTACTTTTTGTAAATTAAATCTATATATACGTCTATCTTAAGTTTGCAAATTTATCTATTATTTGGTCGTAAAATTGTGGGTCTGCATTGAGATTTGAAAGTAATTAAAAAAGGTCAACGCGTTACAGAATAATACCTCCCGGGTGACGTGGAAATTTATTCGGATTTAGACAAAATTAACCTTATAAGGTGTAGTATACTCTCTAAAAATGAATTAGTCAAAAATAACTAAACTGCGCACCACTCAATGTGTCGCGACCAAAAAGTTCGTCCTTTTTCAAAACGACATAACTTTTTTGTTTCTTGGACGATTTTATTTTGGTCTGTGATGTCTGCTAACCTCATCCTCTGGCAATTCATGCTATAGATATTAAGCATACGGTTCTTCAAGTAAATTTCCTACAGGGTGATATGTAAAACGGTGAAAAATTTCAATAACTTCATCCAAGCCCCGTTTGTAAAACAATAATTTTTTTTTTGTTTTTACTTTGAAATAATGTAGTATTATGTGTTACCTTGAAACGTTTTTCAAATTTTTCAAATTGGAATCTTAGCAACGAAAATATGATTTTTTTTCCAAAAGAGTACATTTAAGGCTTTTTGGTAGGCAATATATTCAGTCTTTTTAAGAACAAGAAAATAGGATGGTGAAAGATTGTTCCTTGAATAATTCTTAATAAGCGACAAGCAACAAACTTCCATTATTTTCAGAGGGGCATAAGCAAAGACCACTTTTTCAAAATGACATTTTGGTGAAAATTTGCGAAAACTAAACCTGAATATTTACGTTCGTGACATGTTTTCTTTATAATTTTGACCTCCTGATTGTGATTCAGTTGTCAAATTTAAGTTTCAGATAAAACCAAAATCATCAAGAATCAAAATTTGGAAACAGTTCCCTGTTGTTAAATGTCTTAATAAAATCCGATTGCTGTCGTGTTTCTTGCATATTTATGATAAAAATGCCATTCGGGGATTAATTTTTTGGGCGAAATTACTGCAATTTGTTTGAGTGGTTAGGATGTTACATAACTTACATTTACATTGCGCAGTAGTGATAACATTAATGATAATTATACTTAAGTACCTACCTAATTTATAATGAAGTTAAATAAACATATTTTGTTCATTTTTGAAAATTGTATGCGCATAATCAAAACTTTAACATTCAACAGAAAAATGTAACAAACAATAACAATAATACCTTTCAATATTTCGTTGGCCCTCCCCTAAGCCGTAATAATTCGTTAACCCTCCTGGGCATTCCCTCGACCAAGTTCCTTAGAAATATCTGGGATACCCCATTCTTCCTGAATAGCATTTACCAATTCATCCAAATTTTCCATGCCTCCTTCCCTCTCTTTCATCTTCAATTTTATCCTGCTCCACACATGCTCAATAGGATTCATATCCGGAGACAATGGTGGCCCATTCATTTTCTCAATATGGTGGTCCCTTAAATACTCATTTACGATATATAAAAAAACATTAAAAACCAGCAATCGGACAGCCGGGAGTTGTTTTCGAATCTTGATTCGTAGTGATTTTGGTTTTATCTGAAACTTAAATTTGACAACTGAATCACAATCAGAAGGTCAAAATTATGCAGAAAACATTTTACGAAAGTAAATATCGGTTTAGGTTTAGTTTTTGCAAACTTTCACAAAAATGTCATTTTTAAAAAGGGGTCTTAGCTTAGGCCCTCTGAAAATAATAGAAGTTTGTTGCTTGTCGCTTGTTCAGAATTGTTTAAGGAACAATCTTTCACCATCTTATCTTCTTGTTCCTAAAAAGACTGAGTGTATTGCCTAAAAAAAGCCTTAAATGTACTCTTTTGGAAAAAAAATCATATTTTCGTTGCTAAGATTCCAATTCCAAAAATTTGAAAAACGTTTCAAGGTAACCTATAATACTTCATTATTTTAAAGTAAAAACTAAAAATAAGTTATTTTTTACAAAGTTATTGAAATTTTTCACCGTTTAACATATCACCCTGTAGGAAGTTTACTTGACCAACCGTGAGCTTCATATCTATAGCATAAATTACTAGAGGATGAGGCTAGCAGACATCACAAACAAAAATTAAATCGTTCAAGAAACAAAAAAGTAATGTCGTTTTGAAAAAGAACGAACTTTTTGGTCGCGACACATTGAGTGGTGCGCAGTTTAATTTAATATTTAACCATTGAGTAAAGAACACTTTACTCAATGATTTAACTATTAATTAATAGTGGCTGCTTTTTCACTTGTGCCATGGTTAACCATCGAATACCATGGTATCCCAAAATTTAATAGCCAATTATTATGTAAAATTGTACTCCGAATCTGAAAATACCGTCAAAAGTTATGAAAGTGGAGCAGTTTTTGAGATATAGTCAATTCCATATTAAATGGAAAATTTACTATATCTCAAAAACTGTTCTGCTTTTTTAACTTTTGAAGACATTTTCGGATTCAGGGTAAAATTTTACATAAGAATTGGCTATTAAATTTTGGGATACCATGGTATTCGATGGTTAACCATGGCTCAAGTGAAAAAGCAGCCACTATTAACTATTAAATTAGTTATTTTTGACTAATTCATTTTTAGAGAGTATACTCTACATATATGTAGCCTCACCCTCCTGTACACCCACGAGCCGCCACTGATGTAATATGACTGAGAATACTTTGACAGGAAGGTACTGAAAGTAAGCGCCATTTATTCGAATCGAAGTGAGACCGGTAGCTATATTTAGGAAGCTGGGGTGTTTTGTACACCCCGCGTGCCTGCTTAAGGGCGAGCAGGGGCATGTTGTGTTCTGGTTTTTCATTTAAGAAAGTTGTCCAACTATAGTTATGGCGGCCATTATAAAACATGTGTATGATTCCAAGTAAGACTTGGGTTTTAGTTTCTTTTAAATATTAGAGAACCGCTGGCTTTTCCAATTTATAATATAATTTTAATATGCTTGTGATAACATAATTTTTCTCCAATTGACTGACCTTGTAGCCAGTGGCGGCTGGTGGATTTTGGGCACACCCATTACTCAGTTATTAGACATGGGACCCACATCAAATTTATATGAGTTTATAATGACATTATATACAAGTTCTGCGCAAGCAGAATTTAAATTGAAAAAGTTAGTTTTTAAGAGTGCCCCAGCCCCCACAAATTAAGATAATTTAAATTAAAGTGGTACAATATTTAATTCACTGAAATTTATCGACAAATTTCAAATTTTATTAAAAAAAATCAAGAATTACAGGTGTTGTACGATTTTAAATTTTGAAAAAATAAGAATAAGTCTGTAATTTTTTTAATAAAATTTGAAATTTTTTGATAAACTTAAACAGTGAATTAAATATTGTACCACTTTAATTTCAATTATCTTAATTTGGGGGGCAGGAGGCTGGGGGCACACTTAAAAACTAACTTCAATTTAAATTCTGCTTGTGCTCAACTTGTCTATATAATGTCATTATAAACTCATATAAATATTATGTTGGTCCCATGTCTAATAACTGAGATATTGGTGTGCCCAAAATTCACCAGCTGCCACTGCTTGTTACAGTAGCTCTTCAAATAAAAAAAATACACATGCAATACTTGATTCACCCTGTAAATAATATAAAATGGCTTTAGAGGGGCTATAGCTCACTGGAGTCATTTTTTTTGCACTTTGCTTATAAAACATTTTTTTAATATTTTGAGAAAGTTCTTCCACCTGGTAAATTTTTGGACAACCTTTATCTAAAAAATTTAATAAAAATCCTTTCTGATTAAAATATGTTTAATAAATTTTTTTAGTGAATTGTGGAGGTGATATTGACTACAGTCAGGCCAGAGGAGACAATTTGGGTGATGTTGTAAACGAAACCCTAGAAATATTAGAGCGAACTGGAGGAGAAGATGCATTCATAAATATTAAATATTTAATACCCACATATGAATCCTGCATGTTAAATTAATTAGTTTTTAATAAAGTGTCAAATAATCCAATGCCTAAAATTTATCCTAAAATTAAAACAACTCACTTTTTGTCCATTTTTATTAAAAAACACCAATAGTAAAACAATAAACTAGTTAAGCCTAGTAGAAATATACTGCAAACACTGTTGTCACACAAAATAGGTAATCCTAAAATGAATTTGTGTAATAACATTTTATGGTTTAATAAAAAAAACTTACGTTCATAAATATTTCACTTGTATAGCCATCACACTCTGAATCCCAAATACATCTCACACCAGATTTTACACCTGCTCCTTTCATCTCTCCTATAATAACTTGTACTATGTGCCTGTATCTTTTCATTTGCAATTCTTAAATAATTTTTTATATTGTTAATTGTAAGGATAAATAAAGCTTTTAAACTGACCTTTAATTTTTGTATTGACATCATTGGCAATCGAGATAGTCAATTTCTTTACTTTTTCAGCTTCATACGTTTTCCCGCCCAGAGTTTCAGTTAGTATATTGCGAATGATTTCTTTTACGGGCACCTCCTTAAATCTACAATTTAAATGAAGACATAAAACAAATTGCATAGAATTTAAATCTAGCTTACTTTTCCTCCAAACTTGGTTTTATTTGATATGTTTGAGGCAAAATAGATTCATGACTTTGTTCTTTAAAAACCTCTTGTGTTTCCTGAACAGTTAACTCGCTTAACCTTTTGTTAGATAAATCATCGTCGTCGTCGTCCATTATTTTTTATAAAATCGTATTTTATTAACCTCCAAATTTGTTTACTGTGTGTATGCTTGTGTTGTGTTGCTATGGATACAAATTGAAGTTTTGGCATTGCTACCGTTATTATGAAATGTAACTCCCTAAATAATCAGTGTGGCCAATATGCTGGATTAAAAATTGACTTCGCACAATGGGGTGATATTTGGATAAAACCAGAGCCAACCCGTAATTTTTTTTAAAATAAAAACTCAAGGATTAAATATAGTTTAATAATATACATATACAAGGTTTCTAGTGGTATTATTAAATATCTTAAATTTAAAGTTGTTGTTTATCAGATCTTGGGCGTAATCTGTGTAAATACTACTAATAATTTCATGATTTTCTTCACTTAAAACCTTTGGCAAAACATTAAAATATCTTAAATCTACAAAAATAGAAACAATAAAAATTGTGAAATTTCACATTGCAAATAATTGTAATGAAAATTAAAGTTTAAAACGATCTTACTTTTGTTACTTAACTGGCAGCTACACAAATCTCTAATTAAATTTATATTGGAAATAACACCATGAAAATCTAATCCTTTTAAATTAGGACAACTGTTTACTAAGGTCAATAACATGTCATCCAGTGTTTCCTTATTATTTCTTAATTGTAAATTTACAAATTCTAAAAATTGTCTTGGTCGATTATATTAATTTTTGTGGTTGGCAAACAAACCTAAATGATTTTGATAAAATTTTAGCAGTAAATAAATTAATCTTCTAAAATGCCGACTATTTGTTTGGTCCCATATTTTACTGCTGAATATAGAGAAAGAAGAAAGGGGAATGTTTGGTTTTAGAAACAAACTTATTTCTTCAATGCGGCAAATGTTTCCTAAAATTTTGTTTAATTTATATTGTCATATTCGTTAAAGAAGTATCCGGTTTTCGCAACGCGCGCGCCATCTGGATGATCTGGTGGACTTCAATATCATTGCGTGAATTTAAGAATTGTCAATAATACATTTAAAGCACAGATTATACATCATTTTTAAATAAATAGGTAGTTTTTTCACAAAAGAGAGGAAGGCAGAAGTCTTACTAGACAAATTTCATTTAATTGCACAGCTAAATCGCGCACGTTATTTGTGTTTTAGGATGCAAGGAAAAAATGTTTAGTACCTACTCAATTTCGATTGATTATTCCTTATATCATTGATTAAGAAACTCAACGCTTAAATGCTTATATAGTTACGTTAGTGTGTGTATTTTATATAGGGGATCATGTGTTTTTAATTGTAAATAAAATTCAAGAAATAAATCGATGCATTTTCATGTTTTGCCAAAGGATCCAATTCGGTAAGTACATTTGTTGGTGCAGAATTAACTAATGATAACTTTACCTAATATAATTTATATTTAAGTTTGGACATTTTTAAGAAATTAGTAAAAAATAATTTACATAAGTACTATAGTACATACCTATATGTACATATATGTACCTACGTACTGAGGAAGACTAAAACTTACATTTTATGTACATAATACTTATATATAATACATATTTTTTGGTCTTAAAACGTAAGTAGGTAAATATAACCAAAAATGTACATTTTTAAAACGTACTATGTTGTTTGGGGGATTCCATAATGTAATGTAATACGTATTTTACCGTTGAGTGGAGACTTTCTCAATCAACGCTTTTAATAATGCTAAATGCTGTTCAAATTTAGACGACTTACTTAGGTATTTTTTTGACGATTTTTACTGAATATTTACACTTTTTACGTTAATCACTATTAGTGACTATAGTATAGTATACAAAAATGTGTATTTATTGTATCTAATAGGTAGGTACATTTTATATTTAGAGACTGTATGCAATTTATTTCTTCATTCAGATTAAAACTCAACCCAGAATTTCCTTTCGAAATACACCCAACACAACAAATCGAGCCACGGTTTTTTCCATTTTCCGGCTTTATTCTCAAAAACACTAGTGTGTAACATAAGCGTTTGACAGCTGATTATTAAAAGTTATACTTTCGTTACGATGGTAACAGCCGAGTGGTGGCGCTACTAGCGATACTTCTTTAGCGTATATGCCATATGGTTTAACCCTCAGACCATTAATTACTTATTAATAATTATAATACTATAGGTAGTACGCTACTACTAGTACTACTAGTACCTAGGTATATTGTGCGACTATAGTGGAAAAAGAGAAGATTCCTCAAGCACCCTTAAGCGAGTGAGAATCTCCTCTTTTTACATTGGTACTGGACTATTGAGTCGCACAGAATATTTTATTCAACTACCACTAGGAATTTCAATTCAACTTTATTTTGCCGTTGAAAATACCTATCTCGTTTTTTGTGCTAAGCAAAATATGTTAACCTTTATTAGGTACCTACAGTTCATTTTTTTTATCTGGACTTTTTTTGTTAGGTTGGTGGATTATGCCAGTTTGACTTTAAAAATGGTACTTCTGCTAAAGAATTTAATTAAATACTTTAAGACTGTCAAATTGAGTTGGGTCTTGACTCTTGAGTGTAAGGATGCTCAAAGATAGTTAAGCAGCAGCGTATACGATACAAACGTAGTAAAGTCAAAGTCAAAGTGAATCTAAGTATGCGGAAATACCGGTAATCGGTAATAAATAAATAAATAAATAATTAAACAAGTGCGAAAGTGCAACAATTGCGAAAAGTGCGCCGTAAAAAAAAGCAATATCGATGCTACACGTGATAACTGGTTAACGCCGTAAAATAATAAAAAACAATATCGATTCTACACGTGATAACTGTCCCAAGTGCAAAAGAGTGCAAATTGTGTGTGGTACCTCCCCCTGGACTAAGTCCTCAAGTGTTTGACCGGATTAAAAGGTGTGAGAAAGACGATCAGTTCCAATGAAAATTTTCTGGGCTACGACACGTGCGGGCGGCATGCGATAAGGATCAATTTTAGCACACTGCCTGGCAAATATCCCGAAGTCCAAGTCTGCATAAGCTAGATAAGTAGCTACCAAATTGCATGAACATGACCACCCATTGGGTGGCACCCAATAATATTAATACTAGTTAATACGAAATACCTACGCAACCTGTACTTATATATAATACATATTTTTTGGTCTTAAAACGTAAGTAGGTAAATATAACCAAAAATGTACATTTTTAAAACGTACTATGTTGTTTGGGGGATTCCATAATGTAATGTAATACGTATTTTACCGTTGAGTGGAGACTTTCTCAATCAACGCTTTTAATAATGCTAAATGCTGTTCAAATTTAGACGACTTACTTAGGTATTTTTTTGACGATTTTTACTGAATATTTACACTTTTTACGTTAATCACTATTAGTGACTATAGTATAGTATACAAAAATGTGTATTTATTGTATCTAATAGGTAGGTACATTTTATATTTAGAGACTGTATGCAATTTATTTCTTCATTCAGATTAAAACTCAACCCAGAATTTCCTTTCGAAATACACCCAACACAACAAATCGAGCCACGGTTTTTTCCATTTTCCGGCTTTATTCTCAAAAACACTAGTGTGTAACATAAGCGTTTGACAGCTGATTATTAAAAGTTATACTTTCGTTACGATGGTAACAGCCGAGTGGTGGCGCTACTAGCGATACTTCTTTAGCGTATATGCCATATGGTTTAACCCTCAGACCATTAATTACTTATTAATAATTATAATACTATAGGTAGTACGCTACTACTAGTACTACTAGTACCTAGGTATATTGTGCGACTATAGTGGAAAAAGAGAAGATTCCTCAAGCACCCTTAAGCGAGTGAGAATCTCCTCTTTTTACATTGGTACTGGACTATTGAGTCGCACAGAATATTTTATTCAACTACCACTAGGAATTTCAATTCAACTTTATTTTGCCGTTGAAAATACCTATCTCGTTTTTTGTGCTAAGCAAAATATGTTAACCTTTATTAGGTACCTACAGTTCATTTTTTTTATCTGGACTTTTTTTGTTAGGTTGGTGGATTATGCCAGTTTGACTTTAAAAATGGTACTTCTGCTAAAGAATTTAATTAAATACTTTAAGACTGTCAAATTGAGTTGGGTCTTGACTCTTGAGTGTAAGGATGCTCAAAGATAGTTAAGCAGCAGCGTATACGATACAAACGTAGTAAAGTCAAAGTCAAAGTGAATCTAAGTATGCGGAAATACCGGTAATCGGTAATAAATAAATAAATAAATAATTAAACAAGTGCGAAAGTGCAACAATTGCGAAAAGTGCGCCGTAAAAAAAAGCAATATCGATGCTACACGTGATAACTGGTTAACGCCGTAAAATAATAAAAAACAATATCGATTCTACACGTGATAACTGTCCCAAGTGCAAAAGAGTGCAAATTGTGTGTGGTACCTCCCCCTGGACTAAGTCCTCAAGTGTTTGACCGGATTAAAAGGTGTGAGAAAGACGATCAGTTCCAATGAAAATTTTCTGGGCTACGACACGTGCGGGCGGCATGCGATAAGGATCAATTTTAGCACACTGCCTGGCAAATATCCCGAAGTCCAAGTCTGCATAAGCTAGATAAGTAGCTACCAAATTGCATGAACATGACCACCCATTGGGTGGCACCCAATAATATTAATACTAGTTAATACGAAATACCTACGCAACCTTTAACTAACAATAATTCTTCAGGTAAAATTAATTAGTCACAAGCAATTTACAAGAATCTCATGCAAATGAAACAGTAAAAAAAACTATAAACACAAGCCTTGTGTGTCACAAGGGCACACAATTGTGTTCTTAAGAAGCCATTAATCACTCAAGTTACGATAAACATAAGGCAAAAGAAACCATCCTAAAGAAATTATTTATTTATGTTTACATCTATAGATAGACGTAAGGGGTCATAAATTAAGTAAAAACCGTTAAGTAAGCGTACGCACAGTGGGAAAAAATAAATAATTCGAGGGTCGAAAATTCCAGTAGGTTAAACGAATTTCCTCATAGTCAGAGGGCACTAATTACGGCGGGGTACGGCCGGCAACACTTCGGTTCTGAAGATAAGACTCAATCGCACAGGGGGGCAAACAATTGCGGCTATCAGGAACCGAAA